TGTTACACATCTTACCCCAACTAAGTCATCGGGCCTTACCTGGGATAGTCTTCCTAAGGGAAAATGTTGGTTGGTCTGAAAGAAAAGAGCTTTATATTTGCAGCCCCTGGGCTCACTCAGGAACTACCAGCTGGAGGACAGAAGTGGCCTTAATAAGACAGCACCATCAGCTAAAAAATCCCTTTGATTTTATGACACTTCAAAGTGACACATATTCTCAATGACCCTTTTTCTTGCTCTCTTTATGCCAAGCCCTGGATACATTTTAGGGTCAGCCTGAACTCGCTTATGTGGAAAACTTATGTCCTGCTCTTTGGGGCTTACAGGCAGCTAATACTCACCAGAATAGCCCTGTTATTGTTTATGGCTGATACCCTTACTGATGGGTCAGTGCCCGTGTCTGTTGGTTTTTAAATATTTTTAATATAATCAAAACACTATTTCTCACTAAATAGAGCTCAGTGAGAATAACAAAATTACCAAAGAAGAGGAAGAAGATGAGAAAAATAAGATCTTATCATTATATTGCCTTTCATTTTACAAATTATGTATTGAATCGGTTTATCTTTATTAGGTGATGGAAGGGAAGAAAATAAACCTTTCATTTTTTTCTCATGTTAGATTGTAAAAACACTCATCCTTCTGCTTTTACTAGAAAGTGTTCCTGGATTCCCAAAACAGATCAAGTCCCTCTTGCTGTTCTCTCTCAATCACCATAATAGTTCCATACTTTGTATCTAACCATTTGTGGTTGTCCATCCACATTGGTCTCTTTATTTAACTGTTACACTCTGGAGAGCAGGAACTATATCTGTTTCTATTCACCATTGTATCCCCAACTCCTTACATAATGCTCAGAAGATTACATTAGTTACTAATCTTCCATCAACAGTTTGCCTCCTGGCCTTGGTGGGTTTTTTCTAAGAAGAGTTTTTGCTTAGAAGAGTGGTTTGTTCAGCAAACATTCGTATTATAGATTAACTTAATAATGAATGCCTGTCATAGTATCCGAACCAAATCTGACTCTGACTTATTCAAGGTCAGCTTCATTGATAAATGAAGGTTATGCATTCATTGAGAAATGCATGAATGAATAAATGAACTTGACTTCAGAGTTGTTACAAGAGATTCTAGGCAACACATAAGTGAAATCTATTTATTAATCTATCCCAGAAATATTTACTAACCACCCACTGTGTGTCAGGTACTCTTCCAGGGATTGGAGCTATAGCAGTTAACAAAAAAGTTCCCCAAAATCATCAACTTGGGGAGTATTTACCCCAGAGCTTCTAAAGCACTGTATCCTCCAGGAGTACAGGTACAAATCTAGCTTTCTTTTTGCAAAGACCATCCCAGGCTCTTGCCCCAGCTCTTCTGCCACTTGGAAATATGATGCTGGGAAAGAAAGACATTCAATATCTCAGACTTCGTGGAGGCGTATGGTCCTCATCTCTCAAATCCCTTCTAGCTCTCAAGAGTCTCTAAGTCTAGATAAACATGTTTTTAATGAAATGGATCCCTGAAAATTCACTAGGAAACTTAGTTTTTGAATGAGAATCCTTTAGAAAATTTAGCCATCCTAACATATTAAATATATCTAGAGTAGAATGCCAAAATGAAAGGGCATCCTCAAGAAACCGGATGATCTGCATCCATGGGAGCTCTTAAGGGAGACTCAAGCCTAGGGAGATGGGGAACTCTACAAGGTGCAACAGCCAAATGGCTACAAATTTCTATTTATGTCCTCAGGTCTGGAAGCAGCTGAAAGCAACGCAGACATCCTTACAGTGAATGGGGTTCTGGGGGAGCAAGCCACTTTCCCCTTAAATGTGGAAGAAGTACAGCGCATTGCCAACATTGCTTGGATGAATTCCAAAACATCTGTTGCTCTTGTAGTGCCAGGCTCAGGAACAGCACCCCAAGTTACTGTGACCCACCAAAATTATTATGAACGAATAAATGTCTCATCTCAGAACTACAATCTGGAGATCCGCAATCTGAGGATGGGAGATGCAGATATCTACAAAGCTGACATAAATGTAAAGCAATCTGAAAAGCATATATTCACCATTACCAGGAGCTACAAACTTCAAGTCTATCGTAAGTTGTGGGAAGATAGAAGGCTTGCTTTTTACTTTTACTTTGCAAATTTGCTATTAAAGAACACCTGTATTTCTGACTATTGGGTTCCCTAAATCATTTTATACTTATAAATACTTACGTAACTCTATTAATACTTTCCAACAGGGCGTGGCTTTGCTTGCTTTTAGCTATGTAATCTTCTATCAGCAGTTTGTTTTTCTTTTCTATAAATAATGTGAATAGTCATATTATTCACATCCCATAGTTATTCATTATTGTGAGGATCAAGTGAGTTAGTGTATGCAAAGTACAGTACTTTAAAAAAAAACCTTTTTATTTTGAAATAATTACAGCTGCATAGGAAGGTGTAATGGGAGTGTACCCAGTCACTCCCAATGGTCACATCTTATATAACTATAGTATAATATCAAAACCAAGAAGTTGACAAAAGTACAATAAACAGAGCTTACTTTATATTTCACCACGTATACAGGCACTAATTTATGTGTGAGAATACATGTCACTCTGTCTCTCTGTGCAATTTATTTACATATGTAGCTTCATGTTACTACCACAATCAAAATCCTTAACTGTACCATCACCAGGAGGAGCTGCTCGTCCCTTTATAGTCGCCCGTCACTGCCCCTTTCCCCTCCCAAGCTCTGGAAGACATGCACCCATTGTTCATGTCTACAGTTATGTTATTTAACAAATGTTTACATAGATGGAATCACACAGTATGCATGCTTTTGGGAATGGCTTTTTTCATTCAGCATAATTTCTTTGAGGGTCATCCTAATTATTACAAGTACCAATAGTTTATATCTTTTATTACAGGATAGCCTTTCATGGCATAGATGTACTAGTTTGTTTAACCCTGTTGAGAAATATTTTAGTTGTTTCCAGTTTGGGATTATTGCGGTAAGCTGCTATGAATATTTGCATACAAGTTTGGGCCTGAAATAAGTTTTTGTTTCTCTGAGATAAATGCCCAAGAACGAAATCATATGGTAAAACCATTTTTTCTTTTAAAAAGTGTATTGTGATAAAATATACATGGCATAATATTTAATATTTTAACCATTTTTAATTGTACAGTTAAGTAGCATTAAGTACATTGACATTGTTGTATAATCATCACTGCTATTCATCTCCGAACTTTCCCCCACTTTTAAATAGATTCTATCTTTTAGAGCAGTTTAAGGTTCTTAGAATAATTAAGTAGAAAGTACGGGGACTTCCCGTGTGTGCCCTGTGCCCGCCCATCCATTCACAGCCTCCGCCATTAGCAACACCCCACCAGAGCGGTGCATCCATTACAACAGAGAATGTGCATCAATGCATCAGCATCACCCACAGGCCGTAGTTTACATTAGGTTCGTTCTTGGTGCTACATGAGTTTTGACAAATATATAATGACATGTATCCAGCATTATAGTATCCTACAGTAGAGCTTCACTGCCCTAACAGCCCTCTGTGCTCTGCTTATTTACCCCTCCCTCCGCACAACACCTGGCAACCACTAACCTTTTCCTATCCCTATGGTTTAAGTTACCTCCATGTCTTTTCATGGCTTTATAGCTCTCTCCAGACCTCAGAACTTTTAAGAATCATTTTTACTTTTAAAAGACTTGTCAAATTATTTAAGCTCCCGCCAGCAATGTATGACTGATCTAGTCTCTCCACATCCTCACCAGCATTTAGTGTTATCACTGTTTTTCATTTTGGCCATTCTGATGGGTGTGTAGTAATATCTCATTTTGGTTTAAATTTGATCTCAATAGTAGCTAAGGCAAAGTGTTTTTAAAAGGTAAAATACCAGAACTATCATCATTAAAATTTCTACAATTCACTGGGAGATGTGTGTGGTGTGTTATACAATGCTATTCAAAGTGTGGTCTGCGCCCCAGCTGCATCAGCATCGCCTGGGGAACTTGTTGGAAATGCTAATTCTCAGGCTCTACCCCTTACTTTTGATGTGCAGCTCAAGAATCTGTGTTTTCACACCCTCTGAACTATGCCTGTGTGTGCTCAAGTTAAAGAAGCATTTATCTGGAACTGCATTGTCCAATATGGTAGCCACTAGCCATACATGGCTCTTGAGTATTTGAAATATGGTGTGTTCAAATTGAGATGTATTCTAAGTAGAAAATACACACTGATTTCAAAGTCTTAGCAGCAAAAAAAAGCCCACATAAAATACCTCAATAATTTTATATCGGTTACAGGTTAAGATAATAATACTTTGGATATATTCGGCTAAATAAAATGTATTATTAAAATTAATATCACCTTTACTTTTGCTATTTTTTGAATTATATAAGGACTCACACTTTATTTCTATGGGGCAGCACTAATTTCTAGCATAGAGAAATATTTGAGCCATGTCTCAAGGATTTTACTATCCGTCTGCCTCACAGCAGAAAAACTACAGAAATGTAGCTAATTAACGTTGCTACAGATAAAATTCAAGCACATAGTTAATCCACTGGAATTCAAGTCCCATAAAGGCAGGGCCTTTGTATATGAAGTTCATCACAGTATCCCCAGCACCAACACTGTCAGGCACATAGTAGGTGCCCCAGAAGTATTTGTTGAATGAAAGAATGAATGAATTATAATAGTCCCAGGTCCTACACAGTGCCTGACAATTGTAAGTGGTCTATTACTATAGCAGATTGTATCTCGATGGAAGGCCTATAGTAGAAAGAACATTAATGTTGAAATTAGACCTCTTGCCAGCTGTGTCACCTTGAGTAATTGTTTACCCTCTCTAGGCCTAAATTTCCTCATCTATTGAATGCAGATTATAATAGGTGGAGTTAAACAAGAGAGCACTAGTTGAGCTCCTAGTACAGTGCATGCCTTAAAGTAGATGCTCAGTAACTAGTTGTCATTATTAATTTTTTTAACCCTTAGCTCCCTTTTAAATTGTATTTATGAAGGACTTCCTAGATGAAGAAGGCTCTGAGTTGGGCATGAATGACGTAGTCAAAGAACCATACCCAAGTGTGGAGACTTCAGAAAATATTTGACTTTATTCCAGAACTTTCATTGAGAAAATAAAGAGGGCACTCAATTTTAAGATGTTTGTTTTCATCCCTTTATAACATTTAGTTTCACCCACTCAGTCTTTGGGAGGCGTTGTATTATCTGTAATTAGGGCAGACCCCTATAAAGTCCTAGAGAAAGCTGTATTGCCCATAAAACAAAATGTGTACCTTTTGAGTAGTTAGCTGAGAAGGTAAAGAGAAGGGAACTGACATTTATTGGACACTATGTGTCTGGCATTCTACCACCTAATTTTTAAAAATATATAAAGATTATACATATTTAGGCAATATATGCACAAACAGAGCAAAAGATAATACAGTGAAATGCAGCTCTCCCTTCTCAGAGGTAGTCACTTTTGCCAGTTTATTTTGTCTCTTCCATGATAATTAATGTACATACCATTGTAGATACATGATAGATGGATGGATGGATGGATGGATGGATGGATGGATGGATGGATGGATGGATGGATGGATAGATGATAGAGATGATAGATAGATAGATGATAGATAGATAGATGATAGATAGATAGATAGATAGATAGATAGATGATAGATGATAGATGATAGATAGATGATAGATAGAGATAGATAGATGATAGATAGATGATAGAGATAGATAGATGATAGAGATAGATAGATGATAGATAGATAGATGATAGATAGATAGATAGATAGATAGATAGATAGATAGATAGATAGATAATAGATAGATAGATGATAGATAGATAGATAGATAGATGATAGATAGATAGATGATTGATAGATGATATGACTAGATAGATAGATAATAGATGATAGATAGATTAGATAGATGATAGATGATGATAGATAGATGATAGATGATTGATAGATGATAGATAGATAAATAGATAGATAGATAATAGATAGATAGATAGATAGATAGATAGATAGATAGATAGATAGATAGATAGATAGATGATAGATAGATAGGTGATGATAGATAGATGATAGATGATTGATAGATAGATGATAGATGATTGATAGATAGATAGATGATAGATAGATGATAGA